CTGGCCCCTCTGTCCGCCCCCCGGGCCCCCCTAACCCCCTTCCCGGCCTCCAGGCCCGGGGACAGAGCCCGCTCGTCCAGCCCCTGCCCTGGGGCTTCCCTGGGAACAGGCCCCGGCCCCCCCCAGGCTTTCCTGGGGGCAAACCCGGTCCCCACTGTCCTGGGGATTTTCCCAGGTGTTTGGGTGAGGCTGGAGGCTCAGACCTCACCTGGCCTGGACCCCCCCCAGGGCCCTGTGCCCCCCTCCAGGGGCTCTCTGTCCATCTGCTGGGGACCCTGGCAGCAGAGCTCCCTGGAGCTGATGCTGCTCCTCCCGTGGGTTTCCCCAGGAGCTGCTTCTCAGTCTCCCATCAACTCTGGAGTTAGGATGTATTTCCCCAAAAACCTGCCTGGATGATCCTCCTCCCTGCCCACCCTGTCCCTCCTCTGACCCTTTAAAGGCTCATCTGGTCCATCCCTGTTGATCCCAACGAGCAAATACCCTCTTGCACGGGCAGAGAAAGGCTGGCACTGCTCCAACAAATCCTTGGGAGCAAGTGGTGGTGCCTGCCAGGCTCTTGCTCATCCCTTCTCCTGGAGCTCTTGTAACAGCTTCCGAAGATGGCACCAAAGATTTGGGCACTTTCCAACCCAGGGACCAAAAGCTCTGACTCCATCTGGGCCAGGCAGGAGGGTGAGGTTTTCCTCTTGCTCCCCCCCTGGAACATCTCAGAGCTTCCCAGATGGGAAAAGATGAGTGGGAGATTGTCCTGGAGCTCAACACAGCTCCCCTGATGGGAGGGGGTTTTTTTTGGGGTGAAAGGTAACAGGAACCATCCTGTTGAGCTGTGAACTGCCCTGAGTTGTAGGTGATTTACTGCTTTTCAGTGAATTTAGGCCACGTTCCTGAGGAAACAAGGCCCTTGTGATCAAGCTGTGTGTGTCTGTGCATCCTCAGTGCTCTTCAGGATCAAACCCCAGTTTGTCAGAGCAGGAACATCCTCAGAGGCAGCTGAATCATGGGGTGTTGGGGGCAAACAAGTGGCTGGGATCCTGTAAATAGTCTGAGGGTGAGGAGGGAAAACCCAGGGAGGGAGAGGTCACCCTTCCAACACCAACTTTCACCTAAGACAACTTCTAAATGCTGCCCTCAGGGGAAGGTTGTGGTTGAAGTTGATGATCTGTGGTACAATCCCAAGGTGGTGGAGGTTCCCTTGGTCTGGTGGCTTGTGCAGGGATTCCTGGGGTGCTGCTTGGGCTCTGGGAATGCCCCAACTGTTTGTGGGGAGAAGTTGAAGGAGCCCACCCAGGAAACAGAGGCAAAGGAGAAATGTCTGTGTCCTGACAAGTTTCCACCTTAGAAATCTGTCCCTCCCTCTGCATCCACACAGGGATTTGTCACCTAGAACCTTGGGTGCCTCAAGGGCTGCTGACCAACCAGGGAGATCCTGACTAATCCCTGTTTCCTTTGTTCAGGGACATCATGTCCATTTACAAGGAACCACCCCCGGGAATGTTTGTTGTGCCTGATCCCCACGACATGACCAAGGTAAGAGGAGACTGGGAGCTGGTTCAGCTTCACAGCTCTCAGGGTGATGCTGTTGGTGGCTGCTCTCAGAGGTTGCCCAAGTGGGAGAAGTCAGGGGGAGTGTTGCCAGAGGCTCCAGTTTTCCTTGGTGAGGTGGAGATGGGCTGCTTTTGAAATGGGAGGAGGTTCTCCAGGAAACTGGCTCTGTGGAGAGACACCATCCCAGGGATCTGAGGAGCTTCCACAGGTGCCTTAGTGGTCCTGGGAACCAGTGGGGTGCTGAGCCAGCTCTTTTCATCCTACTGGTGCTTGAACAGAAACCCAGCAGAGCAGCTCAAAGAAGAGAGAGCTCTAGGGAAAGCCCCTGCCCATGGAGGACTTCTCAGAGAGGCTGGAGATGTGTCCATGAACCAGTGCTGGAGTCTCCATAACCCACTGGTGGAAGCTGGAGGTGTTTGTGTCCCTGCACTTAGGTCCTGGCTTCTTTTCCCAGGTGCCAGGGTCACCTGCAGGTCTGACTCCCTGTGTCCCCCCCAGCAGAGCTGCTCCCTGGGGACCCAGCAGCCAGGGCTGCTGCCTCCTGCCCCCTCCTTCCCCTCTGGCCCTTGGGGCTTTTCCAGGCCTGGGAGTTTCCAGTGATGATACCAGAGGGAACACAGGGAGCTGGGAGGCAGAAGTTGCTCAGGGGGTGTTCCTGATCCACCAGGGTGTTTCCTGGCTGGAGAAAAAGGGCAGGAAGAGCCAGTTGTGTCCCCTGGGCTGCTTTGAGAGCTGAGTGTGTGTGAGGACACCTGGGATTTTACCTCTGCTTCACTCTCCTGCTG